AGAGAGAGAGAGAGAGAGAGAGAGGCATCAACTTACTTGGTAGGAATTGGGTACTCAGGAAATAACTTATTGAGAATAGCCACGACCTCCCCTCTGTGAAGCACACTCTCAGCACAAAGGTATCGACCATTAGCCTCAGGGTTTTCAAACACCAGTATGTGAGCCTCAGCTACGTCCTTGACATGAACATAGGCTTGAACCGAGTTTGCGTAGGTCTTAGCCGAACCCGTCAAATACTTGAGCACATGAACTATGCTAGCATTGATAGTGCTCTGGAGTACTGGACCCAAAACCAAGACTGGGTTCACAACCACAAGGTCCACCCCCCTCTCTTTTGCGACTTCCCAAGCAGCTTGCTCAGCCACCGCTTTGCCATAGCAATACCAGTTCTGTTCAGCCAAGAAAACATGAAATTTTATGAAATGTGACCAGAACAACAAGTTTATCGTCCTAGAACACTTGTCTGTGGTACACAACAAACCTTAGTGTTCTTGCAAAATTCAAGGTCACTCCAGCAACTTTCATCCACAACTGCATCTGAGCTACGGTTCGGGTCCATATACACTGCCCCAATCGATGATGTGAACACCACTCGTCGAACCCCGGCTTCTGCAGCTGCGTTTATGACGTTCTCTGTGCCCTTCACTGCAGGCTCCACCATCTCTTCCTACATCGATCATAATGTCATATAAATTAGCCAAAAAGTTGCACTTAAGTATAAGTTAACCCCTCGGATTCGTAGTCCAATATATGTACAAATTGATAAAAAGGGAAAATATCCTGGAAAGGGTCAAAACCCCCTTTGATCTCTAACTATTGACAGTTCAATTAATATTAGAGGGTTTATTTTAAATTTTTGGTACCTTCCCCAAAGATATTTTAAAAAAATATTTAAATTGCACATATTCATAATGTTTCCTGAACAAGTAGGAGTATTTCAATTTGATTAACCTGAAAGGGCATTACTTGATATAAATGCCAATATGTTTATGGTCCAAATTTTAAGTACATAACAAGAAAATAATCATAATATTATGGTAGGCACAATTTATGTACACAAGGAACCAATGGCTAGAATTGCTAGAATGAGGGATTACAGGATCATCGGTGACTGGAGAAGCACTGTGGAAAACCCCTTGGCACCCTTTGATGGCTTCAAAGAGGCTTTCGTAGTCCATCAGATCAGCTCTGCAGAGGATTAGCCTTTGGTCCGCTCCTTCCAAGCTCCTCAGATGAGAATTCTTTGGATCACCTACAAAGATGGTCCATAATTCATTTGTTTTATTTTCCATCTTTTTATGGGTGTAGTTTGTAATTTGTATAAGGCCCAGGCCCTAAAAATCAAAGTAAGGCATACATACCAGTGTTATACCTTCAAATAGTGTTGTTTTAGTATATAAAATCTTGGCCTGAAAATTTATTTTCATCTCTAATTATAAAAAAAATAGCGTTGTTTTAGTATAAAAAATCTTGGCTTGAAAATTTATTTTCATCTCTAATTATAAAATTTGAGGACGAGGTTAGCGTGCAGACAGTCCGCATAGTAACTCCCCATCACCATGATCAATACCAACCTCCAACAAGTTGGAGGGTGGAAAGGCGTAGTATTGTACGGCCTGCCCACATATACATTTTTTCCGAATTTCAAAGAGTAAAAAATATTGTAGATTCGGCAGATATATGAACACTTGAAAATTAACCATATGTAAATAATACAATACAAGTACACAATTTTTAAGACTTGAAATCTATTTTTTCTCATGTCCATACATCTTGAAGTCGAAATGATTGAATTGACGGCATTTAAGCATCGAAACAACCTTTTCCTAGTGAAAATTTGGGGTGCGCAATTGTTTAGGGCTTAACCCTCGTCTCTTTTTCCCCTAAACCATGTTTCTAAAGAAATACCCCCAACTCAAAAAAAAAAAACCATGGCGGTCTGGCTTTCCGGCATTTAAGTCACAGATTTGGAACGATCCGGTACTTCACCAAGGTGGCCCGGTGTTTGAAAGAGGCTGTTCGGCATTTGGAAGAGGTCGTTCCGATGTTTTACAAGTGCGGTCTGGCATTTATTTGTCTGGAATAGGACGCCCGGCCCGGCAGTGTACAGTTCTAGTCCGATAGAATGGATGGGTTCAGTAATATACAACCGCGGTTAGGCATTTCCTTTAATTTGGATCTAAAAATGATTTGTTAGGTACAGGAAGGGTATTTTCGTACAAAAAAAATGAACTTTTTGTATTGGGGGTATTTACTATAAAACTTAATTTTTGAGAAAAATATGCTTAAAAAAAAAAAGAAAAAAAAAATGGTATAAAACCCCCCAAAACGGACTTTTTAATCAATTTACCCCACTTAATTTTTTCTAGAAACTTCCCCTAAAAACCATGTTTCCTAACAAATACCCCAGTACAAAAGTTTTTTTTTTTAATGAAAATTACCTTCCGATACATAACAAATCATTTTCGGATCCCAATAAAAAGAAACATCAAACTGCACAATGCCGCTCATTTCAAAATGCCTGACCGACACTTTAAAACGTTGGACTACCTCTTTAAAATGCCATACCGTATGCCATACGGTCAAACTGCCGCTTAAAAAATGCCTGTTTTTTTAAAGCGTTGTACCGCCCATTTAGCATGATGACTGCTACAATGAAAAGCCAGACCGCCCATTCCAGCAACGGACCGCCCATTCTAACAAAATAATCGTTGGACCGCCTCTCCAGCAAAAATGATTTCCATCGGTCCAACAAAATAATCGTCGAACCACCCTCTCCAACGAAAATGATTTCCAGCAAAAATGATTTATTATGTCAAGGGTAGGTATTTTCGTCAAAAATAAAGAAAAATAATCGACGGACTGCACTCTCCAACGAAAATGATTGTTACGTTAAGAGTAAGTATTTTCGTCAAAAAAAAAAAAAAACTTTTCGTATTGGGGTACGTGCTAGATTTGTTAGGTAAGAGTAAGTATTTTCGTCAAAAAAAAAAAAACAAAAACAAAAACTTTTTATATTGGGGTATGTGCTAGTTTTTAGAGGGAAGTTATTAGGAAAAGTTAGGTTAGATGTAAATTAAATAGAAAGTTCATTTTGGGGAATTTATGTAATTTTTCTAAAAAAAAATCTGGGTGGGGTACCTCTAGAAAGTCTGCTTTTAGGGGTTTTATGCAATTTTTTATTTTTACTTGGTGTACACATTTAATCGTTTGGATGCTAAAAACACCGGCACTATGCATTGTGCCAAATCCATCAATGAAAGTACAAAATAATTAAAGAACAATCCAAAATAATTGCAAAACCCAAAAGCGACGAATCCCCCAGCTCCTGTAACACATAATATACCTGGATTTCTCACTGTTCCTTTCACTGTGTAACCTCTCTCCAGCAATAGCTTAACCAGCCATGAAGCGATGAATCCCCCAGCTCCGGTAACACAAACCGTCTTTCCAGAACCCGTTTGATTCTGGCCCTCGATTTTCATGCTTTTTCCCTGTGACTAAACTGAAATGCACAAGAAAAAAGGCGAGATTCCTAAAAAGAAGCCATTGAAACCATAACAATCTAAATATTGAGTAGCAAATCCCTGGTTTTTGAACTTTTCCCTGAAAGTCTTACCGGTATCTCAATGTATTCTGTTTTCAGGCAAGGAAACGGTAAGAAGCCGGAAATTTGCCTGATATCTGTTTTCCAGCTAGTCCTTTTTATCGCATTTAGATGGAAATAGGATCGCCTGGGAATGTAGAACGCGCCGTATTTTTGCCGGAATTGACTTCTCGGCGAGATTCCCGGCCAGACTTTTATATTTCCCGGCGAAGGATAATAAGGACATGGAACCTACCAAACCATCTGAATGGTGGAAATGACACAATTGAGTCTGGCTATCTATAGTATACCTCAACCGCAGTTGTAACCCGGGTTAGCTCACCAACCGCAGTTCGAGTTAGGAGCATGGTCCATGGTCGGGGGCCAAATATAAATAACGTACGTTATCACGGTAACACCCATGCGTCACGTTATCTAATGCTAACCGGGTATCCAATAAAATACCCGAAATTCAAATGTAACGGTCTTTCATGGTCTTAGATCATTGAATTTATTTTCCCAATTGAATAATTTTATTAGATTATGGATTTGATATTAAATATTATTTTAATATAATATTTGCAACAACTTGAGAATAATAGAATATTTTTTTAAAACCATGAAAGAAATAAATAATTTAAATATATTATTTGTGATAAACTAAAATTAGAGGGAGACCAAAAAATTTTAAATGTTAGTTTAAATGGAGCACTCAAAAGAGACATAGTGGAATTGAAAAATAGTGAAAGAAAGCTAGAGGAGATGGGATCAAAATTCATAATTAAAAAATAAGCCGTTATTATTGTTTCTTAAGCCTTTCACGGCTTCTTTCTTTGTTGTTTAAGGGTTGTTTTCTGACTATATGTTTCAAAAATTTTCCGCCATGGTTTTTGATATATTTCAATTTTTTAACGGCTGGTATTTTAGCATGCTTATTGTTGAATTTGAGTTATCTGGATGGTTTACTGTACTATCTCTTTCATTGATAAGCTACTACAAATTGCCATCAAATATCAACTACAGTTTTCTTGCAATATATTTTCATCAAATTGCACGTACTTCCCCGTCATTGAACAATTCCCTAGTGAAAAGGGATTTCATTTTTATTCATTGGAATTATGTGAATCCACAGCTAACCCATGAATTCCCTTGAAAAGTGATTCCAATTTCATTCATACGAATTATGTGAATCCACGGCCAACTCATGAATTCTACAAAATAGATATTAATTTTATAAAATGGAAAAATAAAGCATGAGAAAGAGGGAGAGGGATAAAGGCGTACTTTTTTTCACTTTTTTTTTTCAACGATTTAGATTGTGCGATGCAATAAGAGTCAAATTTCAGGATTAATACTGTAGAAATATGAACTTTACAAAATGAAAAAATAATGAAAGAACCACAAAAAACCACCGGTATAAATCCAAGTTTACAAAATGGAAAAATAATGAAGGAACCACAAAAAAACCTAGTATAAATCATGCAAAGAGAGAGGGATAAATGTGCACTTTTTTTTATTTAGCTTTTCCTGTGGGATGATTTTCAGAGATTTGGCAATGCAGTGAGAGTCGAAAGAGATTTTAGGATACATTTTTTTACTTAGCCTTTCCTATGGTATGATTTTCAGAGATTATGTAATGCAGTGAGAATCAAAAGAGATTTTAGGAAAAAGTAGAGATAAGGATAGAGATAGAATGTTGATAGATAAGAGGGAGAGAGATAAGTATGAGAGAGATTTTTAAGGAGAGATATTTGTGAAACTCTAGAGATTTTAAAAAGGAAAAAGTTTATATAAAGATGCTACCTTATAATGTAGAACTACGGATACCCTTCAAAAGTCTATCAGAAAAGGTAGTTTTAACGTTGAAAAACCCTTTGATTGATCATCTTGACATCGACATGTATGACTATGAAAAATAAAAAATAATTTAAGTCTCAAAAATGGTGCATTTTACAACATATTATATACACCGTTTATTTTCAAGATTTTCATACTTTTATAGATCTACTTGATTTTAACCATTTTTGAAATTTAAAATTTTATAATTAGATAAAAAACTAGATTTTGAGATAATTCTAAAAATATTTTACATCAAAAGTATATACGATGATAAAATTTGAACGTGCACTTTACCTCTACTACACCTATGGAGGCATCCGTATGACAACTGCACCCTTTTTTAGACACGTAACGGGAGAGAGTGTTTTTAGAAACCTAACGGTAGAGAGGGGAGATTTTAAATGTTGATAGATAGGAGGGAGAGATTTTAGGAGAAATATTTCAAATTGATTAAGAGATAGATATGGGAGAGATTTTTAAGGATTAAGGAGATATATTTGTGGAACAGTAGAGAGTGAGATTTTATAGGAGAGATTTTTAAGGATAAGGAGAGATATTTGTGGACCAGTAGAGAGATTTTAAATGTTGATAGATAGGAGGGAGAGATTTTAGGAGAAATATTTCAAATTGATTAAGAGATGGATATGGGAGAGATTTTTAAGGATTAAGGAGATATATTTGTGGAACAGTAGATACTGAGATTTTATAGGAGAGATTTTTAAGGATAAGGAGAGATATTTGTGGAACATTAGAGAGATTTTAAATGTCGATAGATACGAGTGAGAGATTTTAGGAAGGAAATTTCTAATTGATTATTCACGAGATATGGGAGAGATTTTTAAGGATAAAAAGAGATATTTGTAGAACAGTAGAGAGTGAGATTTTAGGAAACTGTAGAGAGACACCCCTTGGCAACATTTATGAAACCCGAGATTGAGAGAGAGAGAGTGTTTTTTGGAAACCGTAGGCCTGTGAAATTCAAGAAAATAATTAAAGTATAATCATGAAATAAATTGATAATTGAATAGGCGAAGATGCAAGATATAGTAAAGATTATTCTAAAATCGTTAGAGATAAGGAAAGATGATATATTCATATAGAAATAAAGATTTCCTTGCGTACTTTTCTCTTTCTTTAAAATCGTTTTCTTAAATAGGGGAGTGATCCTGTGTGTATTGAAACTTTTTCTTTCTTAAAATCTTCTATTTAAATAGAGGAGTGATCTTGTGTATTTTCAATACAGTATTAAGGTCAATGTGTGTTTTGAACCGTCCATTTTAATTAATATAAAAATCTCAGCACTCTTTTAACTTGGAAAAACTTGTGTAATAATCCAAAAATTTTAATAATAAAAAATAAAAAATAAAAAAAAATAAAAAGAAATAAAAGAAACTTTTAATAAATGATGGTCCATATGAACATGATGGTCCTTAGGGACCATCACTACTTTCAAAAGCTTTTGCTGCCTTGCCCTGTCTAAAGGACGTGGTTTTCAGGTGTTAAAAGTGGTTAATTATGCGACACCTCATACACATGATGGAGGCGTTTTAAAGAAATTAATTAGGACGATAGGTAAGATGTCGCTTAACAACTCCTTTTTCGCTCTCCCTCTTATAAACACAGTGAGCTCTTCCCTCTAGCTGAAATCTCCTTCTCAAATATTTTAGGCAAGTGAC